TACCGTACTGGCCGTAAGAAATCAGAGCGCTGACCCAGGGGACTAGCCAAGGCTGACGGACGCTGGGCTCAGGGACAGGCAGAATAGAAACAAACTGGAGTAGCCAACTGTGGGTAACCGGTGACCTCTAGGAGGGACAGGCGTAGGAAGGAGCAGCCGACAGCACTTACTGCTTTTCCTGTTTTCCAGCTGCCGTTGCGCTGGAAAAAAGTAATCCTCCTCCTTCTCCAGGAGAAGACCACAAGCACCAGTGCGACTTTCTGACCTGGGACCGGGGACCAAAACCAAGAGCTGCCCGTTCCCAACGGGATGGCCTCGCAAGTGTGCGGCCCCGTGCATCTGCAGAGGAGCGAAGGGTAAGCCAAGGGCATGGTGCCTGCACCTGCGCTCCAGCCTGAAAACTGAAACGGCCTAAATGCGAGGGTTGCTTAAGAATACCCTAGAGTTTTGTGGTGGGGGCTCTCTCTTGGGTGTAAATCTCTGCGGGCAGAAAGAACAGGACATGGGCCTCCCACAGCCCCTTCCTCTGGTACCCACTTCTCCCCATCTCACACAACCAGCAGCACCTCCTGGACACCAGCCCCGCGTCAAGCTCATCAGCAGGGCCCAGCGATACATAATTCCAGCTTTCCTTGGCTTTCAGATGACGCTCAGGCTAAAAGCAGGTCTGTGCTTTTGCCCCTAGCCGGGGGGATGGCCAAGGCCACTGCCCAGCACAGCGCCTCTCACGCTCAGCAGCAGCGTTTTGCTCCGTGCTATCTCTAAGAACAGTGGAACCCTGAGCAATTTTAAGTTAAACAGGGCAAAACATGTGGGAACTCGATGCCATGATCAACAGCCTCTGGGGCAGGTTTAGTGCATCCTCCCGCAGCTTTAGCAGAACATGAAAATCCCAGACACAGGGTATGAAGTGTACACAGCAGGCAAGCAGAAAAGAGATTTTTTTCTATCACTCCAGGCAGGTCTGCCCTTTAAGTACTGACACAGCCAGAAACTGCTGATATCTGCCAGCATTTCTATTAGTGCATAACGTGCTCATGTTAGTTCCTCTTCTCCTAAGCTTTCTACTAATGTTTGTACCTGCTCTGCCTTGTCTCCTCCTCCTTTTTGTCCTAATAAGCTCCTAGTCCTCTTCCCTGGAGCATCACTCAACACCCCCGCTCCCTTCATTAAAAGTTATCGTTATCCTAGTGTCCTGCTATCCCCTCTATAGCCCACACAGTGATTTGTTCCCAAAGTCTTTTAGGAGCAAAGAACCCCTTCCTTCGTAGTTCACACAATGCAAAACACAACCATTTCAGAGCAACAGAAAATTGTGCAAGCTGTCACATAACCTGCAGTGTTTTCATCCAGCACTGTGGTCCTCAAGCTTTTCAAAGCCACCCTTCCGCTTTTCTTAAAAGTTTCATTTCCCCTTCTCATCTTCCCAGTTTCTACCTGACAAAAGCACTATTGACACTCTAACTTACCTCAAGCCCCCGGAGCTCAAACATCAGGTTGGGTTTTTTTTGCAGTATGAAACAGTTTGTACTACCCATTTTCTTCTCCCAACATTTACATTTTAATTTTCAGTAAAACTGAACCCCAAACCCTCTTTGTGTTGGCTCAAAGGATATGCTACACTCATCTTGGAGCTGAAGAGGATGGACAACTTTTGGGTGGGATAGTCAGAGACCAGTGCATCCAAATACAACGGCAGGGGAACAGTTTTTTCTGTGGCTCCTAACTCTCGTCCTCCGGTTACAGGATGTATTTTGACACTCCCCAGAGAGAAAGTCACTGCTCTAATAGAGGAAGGAAAAAAATGAGCAAGACAACAATCCGATTCTCAAAGCCGTTACATCATCCAAATACCGAACACAATTTATTTCTAAAACAGCTGGAATCCCATATTTGACAAAATTTCAGACGGATGGAGCTTTCAGAACCAGGCTGACACTGAAAGAAACTTAAAACACTTTTGCTGGCAGAGCTACAGTAGTGAAGTGCCAACGTCCCTGCCAGACAGAGCTGTCATTCAGAGACCCCCGGTAGACCTGGTGGTACCAGCAAAACCTGTGCTTTTCTTGGTAGACATGTTTCACACGGAAGATTTGGGGGAAGCGAGGAAGCTTTGGCAGCAGAGGTGGCAGTTTTCCAGCCTGAAAGCATCCCGCATTAAGAGCATCTGATGGATCTATGGACCCAGCACTGTCGTAACAGCAAAAGCTGCAGGCATACCTTAGATCTGTCGATAGGCACACAAATCATGAGGGAACTTGTAATTTACTTCTCTTGATCCAGTATAAACAAGTGCACTTGCAGCAAAACATATTCTTTGGATGATGACAGAGCATAGTTCAGAAATTCTTTGGTTGTCAGACTGCATGAAATTCCCCCTAATTTGTTTTTTTCCCCCATACGGTGACAAGTGACAGAGTGATGTGGGAGGCTGAAAAAAAAGATGCTAGCACAGTGCCAGGAGAGTGGGCACGATTCCAGCAAAGAATGGAAACAGCCTTTTCTTCAGACCCAGTTCCTGCTCCAGCCCCAATCCTTAGCAAGGGCTTTTCCCCACAGCCACCGCAGCCCCGAGGTCTCAGCTGCGTTCACGCTACATGCAGCAGGATTGCCAAGAGGGGTTAAAGCTTGTAGGAAGGTGCCTAGTATCTATCTGAGGTGATATCTCAGGAGGTAAAGGAGAAATAGATCACTTCTCTTTCCTCTGAGGGAACAGAAGAGGTTGTATCCTTAAATATCTACCATGTTAGTCCAAATTAAAGTCAAGTCAAGAGCACTGGTTTCCAAAAACTGTAGTTAAGTCAGTCTTGGCTGGAGAACTGGTGAGCAAGCACCCCGGTTGGAAAAAAATACATATATACATATACGTGTGTGTGTACCTCACCCAAAGTGCTCAGAATGAAGTCCCTTGTTATGTTTGTCCTTTGGCAAGGAAGCCTGAACCATCACTGACTCTGCTGACGGTGGATTTCTAGCCAAGAAGGATGTCTGTTCTCTTAAGCCAGAGAGTCTTTGAGGCATGGTCCATTCAGGTCGTTAGAAAGAAAAAAGTGACCCATTTTTGACCAAACACAAAATATATGTCATCTGAAGGTATGGGGCAGAAAAGCAGGCCGAAGTTGGACATTGTAAAGAAATAAAAAATAGTCCATATGAAATTACTAACATTATAATTGCCTGTTATATAGTTTTATTTGAATAATCTTCTTATTAATGTCAAAGCAGTTTATCTTGGAGTGAATATATGTATCTTCATCCAGAAACAGCAGACTTATGTGCTTTCAAATTGCTTCCTGATCTATGTTTCTGTAAATAGGGCACTGATGAAAAGGAACAGCGAGAACAATCTCAGAAACTGTACACCGTGAGGAGGGGGATTTCTACCTTTCCAGGTTACCTGCTCAGTTATTTTCATTTACTTATTCGAAACTTTTGACACTTTAGCAGTTCGCCAATTTCTCTTGTCAAAGAGTGGGGGAAAAAAAAAAATCAAAGTAAAGATACATATATTAGGATGAGAGAAAAAAATAAGGTGGCAACAAATGGCAATGTATGATGCCCTGCTGAGGCACGAAAAAAATTTTCTCAGAGGACCATTAAATTACTTTGCAGTATTGATGCAGAATTTCAGACAAATAGAAAAATGCATAGCAGGCCAGAAAATGTTTGTGTTTTTTTTTTTTTTCCTCCAGATTGGACTTGGTAAACTGTATAAATCCTACAGAAACCTGCTGCACAGAGAGAAAGCAGCACATTGCTCCATTCACAATGGGCTTTTCGTAAACACTGTTAGACTCCAAAGAGAATAATTTATAGGAAATGCACAGAAATTTTGTGCAGAAGAGGTCTTACAAATGCCCATTTTACAAATGAGTATTTGTGAAAAGGGAAAAAAAAAAAAAAAAGAAAGATCCCACAAAACATTAAACACATATTCTTGGGTATGTATTTCCCTGTCTTTGGCAGAAGGAAGATTTTAAGAATAAGCTTTGATTGTTAATAACCTGTAAAAATTCAGGGAGAAAAAACCTGATTTCATCATGTACTGTTGGGGCTAGGAGGGAGTGTTTGAAGCGATGTATTCAAGTTACAATTCACAATTTTTGATGCTGGTCGAGCTGATGTTAGAAAAAGTCTACAGTTCTGATAGAAAGAGGTAACAAAGACTTGGGTGAGCTTATCCAGGCACAAATCAGTTTGTGACAGTTCCTTCATTAAACAAATCACCCTTGGAAGTTAAGAATCAGGTAGGAATCTGCAGGATTTCCCTTCTGTAAACAGATGGAGGAAATCAGAAGCAATTTTTCCATCCCTCTGAAAGGAGAACCAAATGACTCTCCAAATGAGTTTTAAATGCACTTATTACAAATAGCTGGAAATGACCACAGCCCAGCTGGTGAGACAGAAGTTGTCTTTCTCTGTAAAGCTCATAAAAAGCAGGTTCTCCATTATAAACTTTTTTGAGGCAAGGGAAGCAAAAAACCTTTGGTTCCTAACATTGTTTTGCATAGGCATTCAAGTAGATCTTCAAAAGCTACCAGCTGTCCAGGCTAGTAACAAAATACCCATGCTCTCTCCTCATTAGTGGACGCTCCTCTTTGGTATCCTGTTTCGTAAGGCAGACGTCTTGCAGAGATGAAGGAGTCATACAGATGCATCTTTGAAAAGGAAGACAGTGTCACTTGGCGTTGCCGCAAACAAATTAATCTACTTGATTAAGGAACACACAGGAAAGCTGCTTCTGGTAGGGGGTGGGAGAGAGAGAAGAGAAAGTACTGATACATTCACTACTTGCTAGAAGCAAGTTATTTTGCTCTGGTAGTTAGTTATTAACAGCTGTTAGTAGCTATGATATTTCTGTGTTGACAGAAAATATGGAATTTTTGCTTTGTGAGTAATTTTGAGTAACAAGGAATAGGATGTTAATAAATCCTTCCAGGCAGACAAAGCCCAGTGGCAGAAAATATAAATATTAATTTTGGGAAGCATTCTGGCAGTTACTAAGCATGATACTTACTCGTTGACTGCGTGATGCATGAAACCTTGTAGGATGACCATATGCTTAAAACACAAAGGATCGTAGCTAGGAACCCGAAAGTCTGGATGAGAAAAGAAACCACAAATACTTACGGAACATTGGATGACACATATTCCATGAATGTATGGACTCTCTTGTGTATCCAGCTACATATTTTATGATGTTAACAGACCCAAAACAGTGATTTTTTTTTTTACTCCATTCTGCCAATATACTAAAAAAATAAAAGCTTCTGTAGTATAATAGCAGCTTATGTCTTGTCAGAACAATGACCAAAAGACAGACTGAGAGTCATATATAAGTGGGGAGAAAAAGCTGGACAGCAGCACAGAGTCTCACCTCCTAGACTTCTCACTAGGATTCCGCAACAAAGAAAAGACTTTTTCTAACACCTCTGATTACTGCTCTTTTACTGCCCCATTCAGACAAGTCTTTCCCTGCCATCTGCCAAATAAACAAGTCAGGTAAGTCTTCTAGTCCGTTTGCATCATCAGGACCAAGTTTCTGAAAGTAATTCTTTATTCTGGAGGAGTTGTATTTCAGGTCCTGCTGCTGTGAAAATACTGCTGCCCACATTCAGAAGTCATGCCTCTCTCTGTAAAGTCCTCCAGCCAACAGAGGCAGATAGTATCTTCCAGTAAGTCAGCCCAGGGGACCCAGTGGGTTTTAGCTCAGGAGAAATTGTCTTGAACAGGGCTCTGTTCAGGAGCAGGAGGCATCAAAAGCCAAAGACTGGGATGAAATCCTTTAGGTAACTTGTAGGTGCTACAACAGCCTTCTGTCAAAACAGAATTGACTTAATTCTTCCCCTAAACACATTAGTTAAAGCAGAAGTCTTTGGTTTGAACTCTCTGACAGGCAAAACACCCACTTTAGTGGCGAGTCTGGAGTCTCACAACAAAATATTTTTGTTGGCATTGTGTTACAGAACATTCTCTGAAATGAGCTAGAAGGTAGTTCACCCAACCAAGACAGAAGCAAGTTAAGTCCGTAAGAAAATAAAATTACAAATAATAGATTTCCAATGCCCTACTTAATATATATTGCAATTAAAAAAGTGTCAAGACTAATAAACACAGTCTTACCGCTCCAGCCACAAGTCCATTCCAATTGTAACTCTTGGATGCTGCTACAATTGATGCAATGAGAAGCAGAATTGTACCGATTAAATAATGAAGAAACTCCTGCAAAGATAAGCACAGACTGCCTCAGAAGGGAAACTTATCAGGAAAGCTTGTCAATATGCCTCAGAATGAAAACAAGTTGGCAGAGGTTACTCAAACCCAGAGGACAAAACACCAGTCAAAAGGGGAAAAAAAAAAAAAAGCTAAAAGAAAAAAAAAGAAAGAGAGAAAAAACCACCTTGTGAGTAGATTTTGTACCATACCTGACTTTCTGTTTAAAAAAAAAGGAGGGAGGGCCAATCTTCAGATCTACTAATGTCACTGGAGTAAGACCTACTTACTGGGTATGGATGCAATCCTTTCAAGTCAATGTGGTGCATTACTGAGGGCAAAACACGTATCTTTAGTGCATCAAGCATGCACCTCACTTAAAGAGACAGATCTAGAGGAAGGAAGAAGCCTTTAAGGGTGTATTTCTCTAGCCCATATGAAATGGCAATAAACAGCAGCAAATGGCCTAAGTGGAAAACCAAATGTTCCTACTTCTGGTAATCTTAGAAAGCAAACAGCATATCTACTGCTGGATTTACTAACAACTTACATCAACCAAGACTGGAAACGGGAGGGAAGCCACAAAAAGCCCAACTACGCAGACACTCATAGCCAATACTACAGATACTCATCACCCATATTTGCAAACACCCATATTGGTTGCCATAAGCTTTGTGAGGATTCAAAATCTAAATCCACAGATAACCCCTGCTTATGACAAGGTAAAATTGACTCCTAGACTGACACTCATCACACTTAGAGAAGAGCTTAAATGTGTGACTAGTATACCACAGATTCCCTCTGCTGAGGGGTTTATAAACAGATGAGGAGGATCTTTGCCATAAAGGAGGCTCTGAGACTGCAACCTGCTTTCCTCATTTGTAACCTTGTTTCAGGTAATCAAGACCTCAACCCTCGCTTTCGCCAGAATAAATTATTCCCATAAGGAGGCTTCTCTGGCTAGTCCATGACACAGCCAGTAAATTAGGCATGCCATTGCCTCCTTAGAGACACCAAATAAAGCAGTGAACGCAGGCCACTAATTGCGAGGAATCTGAGGGATGGGCAAAGGTGCAAAAGAATCATCAAAGGCTAAATGAGGTGGAGAACCACCCCCTAGCAGGGCCGGGAGAGTGCCCTTCTGGCAAAATACATCCCAGCTTTAAAAGGTATCAGTGCTGAACAACCTCTTGAACCACTCCAACTGTGCTGACTGCAAATCACACCCCTGTTTGCAATGCAGAGATCCTGCCAGGAAACTCAGCCAAACACTAGCTGTAGTTGCCCAAAGTTTCTTACAGGTCTTCCTATTCTGTTCTAAAGATACTTAAATACGTGACTGAAAGGGAGGTTGGTTGTAAAAAAGCAGCAATGTTGGAGCATCACATCCCATAAAGCTATCTGAAGCTAAGCAGGCACAAACGGCAGTGCCTTAAACTCACTAGTGTCTCTGGAACATTTAGGAATGCTTAAACATGAAACAAAACCCAAAAGCAGCCAATGCAGAGGTCAAATTGGCGTAGTTCTGCTACAGCAGTGCACACATTAACTGCTGCTTTGCAAAACTCTCATTTATTAGCTTATTTACATCCCTGCATCTGTATTATCTCTAGATAAAGTACTACTTTCTAGAGACAGATAGTGGTGGTACACATTTGAAAAAATAAAGAGGGATGCAAGCCTAACCATATTCTTCAGCTAAAAAGAAAAAGAAAATTAACATTTTTCTCTGTGGTTAGAAGTAGATGGGCAGACAAACCGTTATCCTAGATCTGTAAACTACTTGCACAGCTTTCATTAAACGCTAGCCAACCCCTTCTTGAATTGCAAAATCCCTCTATATCTCTCCAGTGGGCTTTCCCCGTCCCTTTTGGTCCTTCCTCTGCGGAACTAACATGTCACTATGCGCAAGGGAGACGTGTTCTAAGAGGTTATTGAAATCCATCATCCCACACTAGGACACAGGACTCTTCTGTTAGCTGGCCTGACCCAAAGCTACTGAGGAAGTTCAGGTCTTGCTTGTTAGTTCTCTGCTAGGATATGAGAGATGGATGTGCAGGGGAAATGTGGGAATGAGGCAGGAACATCCTGCAGGATATCCCAGGAATGGCCAGGCTATGGCAATCAGGCTGAGGCTCCTATTTCTTGCTATTGTTTAAGTTAGCTAAAACCATACCAAAAAGAGACACATTTGACTTAAATAGCACTCGCAGACTTTATTTTGGGACAGGATGTAGTACGTGAATTCTAATGCTATGATTTGGTACTCCAGCAATCTCTTAGCTGCTATAAATGACCTGAGCTAGGGTCCATCTGCTGAAGGCTTGATAATCAGTAGCTGCTTTTCAGTTGTCTCAGAATAACACTATAGCCTTTCCTGGAGTAAATCTGGATTTATATCTGTGTAAAGGAGGGTGGGATCAGATCCAAATCAGCTAAAAAGTTTACAATTACGGCATCTGCTGAACCGAATGCCGATAACAAAAGCAACAAAAGGATTTGTATACAAGGCAAAAAATAATTACATGAAAGACAGCCTATCATTGTGTGATAGCACAAGAAAGTGGACTAAGTAATGGAAACATCAACCCACACGAGAGGCGAGGAACCCAGAGCATCTAACAGGCTTACCGCAAGTGGCCAGCTAACGCAAGTGAGCTTCCTGTAGATTCTGAAAATGTGGATAATGTAGAAGAACAAAATCATAACAAAGTCGCACATGGTGACAATCTGAAAGTAGCTGTATGCACTGTAATCCGTCCACTGAGAATTATTCACACTGATGAATCCAATCAGCAGTGAGATCTGAAAGACAAAAGGCACAGTAAAGATATTTACAATGGTGCCCAGAGGGCTGTGGAGATGATTTTAAACACAACAAAATGGCACTTAGAAACCGAAGACAAATATTTAATGTAAGTTGGATGGTCCCAACAAAATGGAGGACAAAGTAACAAGCATGGTAATAAAGTTTTAAAATTTGCTGTTAAATGAGCGAAAACAACCATTAGGAGTGGGGGAAAAGCCAACTGCTAGAAGGAAAGCAGCAGTTTCAGCCTGAAGAAGTCTCTGTGTACAGTACACGAGGTCTCAAACAGAGAAGAGGCGCTGAAGGCCTGGAGTTGCACCAGCGACTGAAGCACCTAAACCCCACGGACTTTCAGAAGGAAATCACCAAAAGCTGTAAAAATGAAGGTGCCCTTGAACACGTGCACCTTTACATCCATTTAGTGAGATTTCTCACATGAAAAATCGGAGGAGCTGGCTGCGACTGAGCCAACAGTTTCACCCTTCCTTTTTTACCACCTACGGACCAGGAGTATTCGCAGACTATAAGGTAGTATCATAGCAAATAATTTGCTATGGAGGAAATTTGGAGGAATTGATTCATTCACCCCACTCCCAATAGAATAGTTATAAAGCTTTAACATGTTACCATTGTCACATAAAACTATAAAGCATTATTGTACAACTTCTTTCAGTTGTAGGCTTGCAAAGGACGAAAGCTGTGTTATTTGTTTAATCTAAATCTACTTGTTTATTTTACTAATCTTGCTGTTTCTACCAGCCTGGCTAGCCTGGGTGACAAAAATAAATCTACTGAGGATATACCCAAATATTTTCTTATTACAGACTTTGTCAATGCATGCTTCCAGCCACTGTAATTTTTAGTTCATCCAGAGTCAGGCAGGAGCAGTAATGACTCACATTTTAACTGTTTCTCCAAGACATTAAAAAACTATCTGAGGAACTCAGCACTTCAAGACTGCACCATCCTTTCCTGCACACTCATCTTCCAAACTCCTTACCAAGTACATCCATTATCAGAATAATTTCCTTAAGATTAAAAGGGAAAAAAAAACAAACAACACCCAAACAACATAGCTTAGATTCTTCCTGCTGTAATTTTAAGAGTTTCACCTGCTTGGTTCTAAGTGGACAGGCTAGACATACGCACCTTCAAGGGCAACCGAAAGCTCTATACACACATAAGAACTTCACAAGAAGTTGACAAGAACTTGTCACCTTGGCCAAACTCCATCCAAACAGCCACATCAATGTCACGACAGTGAATCGCCTCAAAAAGGTGGCTCCAAAGAGAAAAGTGAATGCTTTGGGATCCTTTCCCACCCAAGTGGCTAAGCTATTGTTAGATCTGGTCCAGCTCCATCACTTTTACTGGAGTAAAGTCCAAGTAGTTGATATTAGCATTGGAAGTGATGCTCAGTCCAAGCCAGTGACAGGCTTCTGCACTACATTTCTTAGAAGACAACAAAGCAATGCTCTCTGCAATTCAGCATTTCAAGACTTCTGGCCCAGTTCTTCAACTCTGAGATAATTTTAATGAAGTTTTGTACAATCTATGTCTACACACACCAGGTCTAGATGAAGCTGTGATTTCGTGAGGGGCCATGGCCTTTGTAATCTTCTCCTTCCCACCCTGATTTCACTCCCTGTCAGGTACTGGCTCCTCCACTCATCTCTGCTGAGCCACCTCAATGTACTAAGCCAGCAGGAAAGTGAATTACTGAAAACAAACAAACAAACAAACAAACAAATAGCTTTACTCTGACTCCACCATCACACAAGGCAAGGGCAGGTGAGCAAGGGAGTGAGGGAGAAGCTGGGACTTCAACAGAAAGGATAGGAAGGACTGAGCAACCAGGATGGCAGCAGCCAGCAGCAGACCATCCATCTCAGTTCCTTGAATCTAGGAATCGTCTAACTTAGCTGTTGAATAACTTGAACAATCAGAAGGAGATCAGCAGGTCGTTTACCCTATAACTAGGGGAACGCTCGAAGTGATGCAGGACACACAGCTATTATTTTCATGAGAAAATGAAAACCAAATTTAATGAAATTTCATTCTATAAGAAGACTCAACAAGAAGTCACAGCAAGCGTTGAATCTTGCTCTTGGATAAAGGTGGGATGAGGACAACACTTCTCTAACCACCAGAGGCTAAAAGGGGCCTCCTTTATTCAGGCATCTTCATGATAATCAGTTCTCAGTTTCAGTTAAACTGTACAAATCAAGAAGGAAGCACTAATTCACAGAAATATTGAATCTGCCTATTGGCTCATTTCATGCCTGAACCATTAACTTTAGCAACTTTTTTTACTGTGTACAAAGGATAAGAAGGACTGGATTCTTGAAGTACAACCACCATCCAAATAATAAGAAGCGCTGGTAAAAAACAAATACAAAACCCAAAACCAGCTAGACCCAGTTCTTTCAACTTCATGGAAGCATAAAAGTTGTGAGGTTTGGTTTTTTTCCAGTTAAAAGGTATAAAAAATTGAGAAGCAGCATAATGAAGAATGTGAGCCATCCAAGGACAAGGTTAGAAAATTCATCTGAGGGATTATATTCCTCAGAAAGAAGAAGATACAAGGTACCAACCAGGCAGTGAAGAATCTGCTCAGCTCCGAAGAACAGGGTAGAAATGTGCCTTTGAACAAACATGCTTTCCATTTCAAGTGTACTTCACAATTAAAAAGATTCAAAAAACAATTAGTAAAGATTCTCCCTTCTTTGATTTCAGATATGCCTCAGCACACAGGTAGGAAGAAATCACTGTGTGGCAACAACTATTTCTTTCCAAGATTTCCTTTCTTAACATAAATTTCCCAACATGAGACTTACATGCAATTTCTCAAGAGGGTTCTCTGATCGGAGGCACACAATGCTATTGCACAGGACAGGTGCAAAGGGGACCATATCAACACGTTTATATAAAGCTATACCACGTTTGCCACACCATATTGCCTGCATGGCTAGGAGGTACAGTCAGAGTTTAAAACTCACCTGCTGAAAAAGAATGCTAACGAATGCTAACAAATGTAGGAAATAGAGCTACATGATATTATTTGTCCTTTAAAAGTGACAAATACCAAAGTTCCTTCACCAGATATTGGTTTATCATGATATACTGGGTGATGGTCATATTTTTTCTCCTCCCCCTGGAATTCCTGTTTCCAGAGAACTTGAAATTGAGCAATAAAATGATTAATATGTAACTGTCGGGGATACAGTTCAACATATATCTTAGAAGTCAGTTTGTGGCACAGAGAGAGACAGAAATGAATGGAAAAAGCACTAAAATGATCAAATATTATGAGTGTTCTTTATGCATCTGTGCTCAGGGGAGCAGGTTAATACATCTTAAAAATAAAAACTAGCAGCACAAAAAAATTAGGGCACTGACATTTCCATTTCAATACAGTATTTCACAGATTGCGAGAGCAGTCGACATGTAACCTACAGCCAGCAAGCCAGTCACACCAGAAGTACACATCAAACGATAGTCTCATCAGAAGATTTCAATGTGCTCCACAAAATACATCCAGGCTTCAGACCTGCATTACAAAAGGGGTGAGGGACACATTGCAGGACACTACTGTTTCAGTGCCTTCTGCATTCTGAAAAGCAAGACAAAGAGCATATGCATCAATCAACTCCAAGGGAGGATTTTTGGATTTCAATAAAGTTCCATATTTACTCTGTTTCACAGAAGTTGATCGTCTTAAACCAATCCACTTCTTGACTTTCCACTGGACCACATATTTGAAGTGAGTCACGAAGCGTGTCTAAGAAGACTGGTATATACCAGGAACCATCTCAGAGTGAAGCCTAGGTGAGCTAAGGGCAGTCAGCAATTGCCAGGAGGCACTCAACACGTTAGCAGACAGAACAGACATCATAAAAGAAAGATGGTAAGAGTCTGCATTCTCTTCTCTATTTTGAGGTGGAGATGAGGCAACCACACCCTCTGCAATGTGCCTGTGGAAAATGTTGGCTCTTGAATAGCACTGACATAAGCTCCCAAGCCTAAACTCCATCCTGATTTGAAGTGAGCACAGCTCTACCAAAAATGAAACATCATTTGCTCTTTCCTGATACGGTCTTCCTTCAAAAGCCAACCCATGGTCCCTAAAAAAGGGGTGAACAAGCACAGATCTTTCAAGGATGTTAAGGGGAGATGGGACATGGGCTGGGAGATTTGATCTTCACAACAAAGAATGGCCAGGTGTTATGCTGCTGCCTTTAAGTGATGAGGGCAAGGCTCAAGACCCTTTTTCCCCTGTGCTACGACACCACTCTCTCGATGTGCCAGGCACGGGCCAGGCCAACCAGCCAGAGCCAGGGCTGGGGGGTGAGAGAGGGGCTGCAGCAGCACATGCAAGAAATCATAGAATCATTATGGTTGGAA